TTCCCTGCGTCACTAGTTCACCATGAATTTTAATCTGTGCTCCTTCAAACTAGCAAACAGCTTTTTGATGCAAATATTGAGTGCTTTTGCAGTTTCTAGCAGCATGAAAACTGGAAGCTGAAGTGAGAGAATATGTGACCCAAACCAATTTCATGCACCTAATAGCAGGTAGCAATTATTGAGCAAAAACACAGGAGCATTTGATCCAAGGGATTATCTTCAAGGACCGTTTTCTCTTTGAGGAATGGTAAAACATGAAAATATAAAAGAAAAATATTCTTGTCATCCTTATTTGACCTTAGTTCAACAGCTGGAAACTTTAAATCACTCTTACACTGATGATACAGAATGGCTAGAATGACCATCCGCAAACACAAACATTCATAAAACATTTTGAAACGATGCAACACAGAAGTTTATAATACTGTTAATGTTATTCCCCATGGTGCACTTCTCAGGGGAGTAACTCTCATCTTTCACTGAATCAACGTACACTGGAGGTGGCTCAGCCAGACAGTTTATTTGTAAAGTACTATCATATCCCTTGTAAGCCTTCAAGTTACTCTCAATTTGACTGTAAAGTTCAAGGTTATTGTGAAAGAACTATTCTTATACCCTAAAACATGATTTTTCCATTAAGACACATCTGGCCAAACTCTTGTAAGTGGATGTCACATCGCAGACAGTGGAGAACTCGAATTCAGCTGGGAAGAGCTGCCCTCACTGCAGCTGAAACACCAGCTTTTAACCAAATCAGAAATTCTTTGTGACGAATACTGAGCATGCAGGACACTGAAGACATTCATAAAGAGCTTTTCTTTAAGAAAAGCATGTTCTGAAAAAGCTGCTGGGCTTTTTGGAAACAGACTGAGGCCACTTGACTACATCTTTTACACATGTGTGTAGAGCGCCAACAGCTGATAAAATTCCCATGCCCCACTCCTTTTGGATTGAAGACTGTAACAGTGCAAGGCATTACAGTTAATTTAGGTGATGAGAAAAGGTAACGGGCTTGCGCTTACCATCTTCTTGTATAGCACTGCCAGGTGTTTCACAGTATAAGCCAAGGAGGGATGATCTGGAGCCAGTGCTCTCCTCCTGATGTCTAAAGCTTTTTCATAGAGTTCCTCTGCCTTGTCATAGTGCTTCTTCTCGTTGTACAACGCCGCCAGATTGTTCAAAGA